GAAAGAAAGAAAGAAAGAAAGAAAGAAAGAAAGAAAGAAAGAAAGAAAGGAAGGAAGGAAGGAAGGAAGAAACCAGAACATATCCCAACCAGCAGTCAACCTCCATGTAAGCAGGTATTAATACCAGACAAACAATCAAGCAGAAAACAATACCCTAATGAAGAAACTACTAAGGTGAAAGTCACACCCCACTAACACTGGCAGGGAAAGCTTTGGTATAAAAACAAGGAGCAGACCCACACATGCTCTGGCACTGAAGAAGATGTTACTTAATCAGGTAAGGAAAGGTTCCGGAACCAAATAACCAAGTTTAGAGAGCACCAAGGCCTTTATACTATAATCTCTTTTCTGAAACGGATGCTGGAAAGCTTGTGCTACCAACAGACTACGTTGTGCTGCCCTCTTGTGGCAAACGTTAGAATAACACCTGCGTGAAGCACACATGCTTGGAGTCAATACATTGACAGATAAAAGAGCGAGGAGGGACGCATAAGATTTATTTCCCTTTTCCTTTGCACCATAAAAGCCTCCCCCCCCACACACACTTCCTTTTAATTCTAGAGAATCAATGTAGTTGCTGTTATTGTAAATCTTCCTCCACCACCCTGGGAGGTATTTGCTGAATTGATCCTCTTTGGCTGAATAGGATAAGAAGGAGATCAAGACCTACTTATTCAAATATTTAGGATTGGGGGGGTTAGATTTGGCCAATTCTCATGCATCTGATACATAATTTTTTTAAAAAAACATGCAGCTGATCCACAAGGAGGAGAGTCTGTTAGGCAACAGCACAACAGATCACGTCCCAAGAGAAGAGATAGAATAGATTAAACCAGGGGTAGTCAACCTTGGCTCTTTTATGACTCGTGGACTTCAACTCCCAGAATTCCACGAGTCATAAAAGAGCCAAGGTTGACTATCCCTGGATTAAACAATAAGAGCAATGAGAGTGGAATGAAGGCTGCTGAAATCTGGGTTACAGCAAGTCCTCAAATCACAAGCATTTGCTTAGTGACCGTTCCAAGTTACAATGGTTACTGAAAAAAGTGACTTAATGGCTGGTCCTCGCACTTATGACTGTTATGCCACGCCTGTGGTCACGTGATCAAAAGAAAAAGTGAGAAAACACAACTTTAGCCCAGGATAAGCAAGGATAGCTTTGGCTATATTATCATGGCTGGAGATGAAGATGAAGCCGTGGTTGGCTGGGGAATTCTGGGAGTTGAAGTCCCCAAGACGTGGGGCGACATGATAGCAGCCTTCCAGTATCTCAGGGGCTGCCCCAAAGAAGAGGGAGTCAAGCTATTCTGCAAAGCCGCAGAAGGCAGGACAAGAAGCAACGGATGGAAACTAACCAGGGAGAGAAGCAACCTAGGAGAAACTTCCTGACAGTTAGAACAATTAGCCAGTGGAACCACCTGCCTCCAGAAGCGGTGAATGCTCCAACACTGGAAGTTTTGAAGAAGAGACTGGACTGAAATAGTATATAGACTCCTGGTTGATCAGGGAGTTGGACTAGAAGACCTCCAAAGTCCCTTCCAATTCTGTTACTCTATTCTATTCTAAATCTGCCACAATTCGGATAAGGCTGTTTAAAGGAAGACTGAAGTCCATTTCAAGGGTTATCGTTTAACCCCCAATAAACAGCCCACGCTAACAAGACAAGCTTCATCCATCTGTGCCTTTTAAACCTGCTTAAGATAAACACATGCCCATCATCTGACTACAATGAATATTACAAATAAAATTCAATAATTAATAAAATAGAAAATAAATAAACTCAAAGAAAAGACTCAATCGACTGCTGGGTCCTTCTTCTTTTTTTTTTTTCCTCCCCTGCTGTCAGTTTTTTACATTTCTAGGTTTCTAACTAAGCAGGTCAAGTCTTAAAGTTGCCAAAAAGGGTTAGATTAAGGGAGAAAACACGACTTTAGCCCAGGATAAGCAAGGATAGCTTTGGGCTCTATTACCATGGCTGGAGATCAAGATGGAGGCCACTTTCTGGGTGCGTGATGGCAAAGATGGTGAACCTTGAAAGTGAATATCTGGGCCCCTGTAAAAAACCATCTTTATCTGCTCAGTGGATCTGTAAAACCTGGCTGTGCAGAGGGCAAGAGGCAGGCCCCGGTAGGCGTAGGCACCATAAGCTTCCTTTCTTTCATAAACCTCACGTAGGAACAGAAGAAAAATCTGTTCAGGTACGTTTTTCTAACCACAGACGCCCACGCGAGTCTCAGCTTCCTAACTAGGGGAGGCAGAGCGGCGTTCTCCTGCCTCCTCGCCTGAGCTGATCTCCAGGCAGAGGACCCCATGCATGGGCTTTGTAGTCTCGCTAGCCAGGCTGACTTGGACCGCTTCTTAGAACATAGAATCATAGAGCTGGAAGGGACCTTGGGGGTCATCTACACCAGGGCTTTTCAACCTTTTCACCCCCTGTACCACTTTTAGGATATGGCAACATCCGAGTACCACCAGTCGCCTAGCAAGGTGTCAGAAACTTGATGACCAAAAAAAAAAAAAGGAAAAAAGTGATAAAGTACAGGTAGTCCTCGACTTACAACAGTTTGCTTAGTGACTGTTTGAAGTTACAAGGCACTGAAAAAAGTGCCCCCCAAGCCACAGCCAAGCAAGATGCCTGCCTGCCCACCCGGCAGCGCTCTTCCTCCTGTCCGAGGTTTTCATTGTTGTGAGCATTTCTGTTGAGGATTGGCAGCGGGGGTGGGGTGGGGGAGTGTTTGGTTTTTATTCCCCCCCCCCATCTGCTGGGTGGTTGCAGCAGGTTTTGGTCACTTCCCATGACCCTGGGACACTGTGACCGTCATAAGTATGAATCAGTTGCCAAGCATCTGAATGTAAATCACAAGACCCTGGAGAGGCTGCAACATTCCAGCTGATCGGGGCTTCTTCTGGGCTCAGCAGAAGCGCCAGGATCAGTGCCGAGCTCCAGCTGGAGCCTGGCGCTGATCCTGGGGCTTCCGCTGAGCCCTGACAGTCCTGAAGAAGCGCTGATCCTGGCGCTTCCGCTGAGCCCTGACAGCCCTGCAGCTCCAGCCGTCTCTCGCTCAGGCTTGTGCGGTGCTGCCACCGGTTCAACTCATTCCCCTCCCCCACTACCACTTTTCTAGGATGGTCATATACTCCCTGCCAGGTGCCAATGTACCACAGGTGGTACCCGTACCATTGGTTGAAAAGCCCTGGTCTACACCAACCCCTTGTTCAAGGCAGGGGATCTTATACAGGTAGCCCTCGACTGACGACCACAACGGAGCCCAAAATTTATGTGGCTATGTGAGAGATCTGTTAAGTGGCTTTTGCCCTATTTTATGACCTTTCTTACCACAGTTGTTAAGTGAATCACTGCAGCTGTTAATAACATTGTTGTTCAGTGAATCTGTCTTCCCGCATTGAATTTGCTGGTCAGAAAGTTGCAAAAGAGTGATTGCATGAACCCGGGACACTGCAACTGTCAGAAATATGAGTCAGCTGCCAAGTGCCTCAGTTTTGATTGTATGACCGTGGGGATGTCGCAGTCGTGGGAAAAATGGTCAAAACCGTGTGTGTACACGCTCAGCCGCCACCTGCGCACATGGGTGCTTGTCCACCGCTTCCATGGCCCGGTTCTGAGCAGTTCACGGCCTGTAGTGGGCTGTAAAATTGGGGGTTGGGGGCTCCTGAGTTAGATGATTTGGGGCCAATCATCAGGAGATGGAGAGTTCTAGTCCTGTCTTAGGCATGACAGCCAGCTTGGTGACTTTGGACCAATCATCAGGAGATGGTGAGTTCCAGTCCCGCCTTAGGCAGGAACGCTGACTGGGTTAAAAATAAAATAAGAAAGGTGGGATAAAAATTAAAGAGAGAAAGAAAGAGAGAGAGGGGAGGGAGGGAGGGAGAGAGAGAGAGAGAGAGAGAGAAAGAGAGAGAGAGAAAGAAAGAGAGAGAAAAAGAGGGAAAGAAAGAAAGAAAGAGAGAAAAAGAGAAAGAGAGAGAGAGAGAGAGAGAGAGAGAGAGAGAGAATATCAAAACAGAAAGAAGGCATTTCATCTGAAGCCTGAAACACTTATTTATAACAAACCCTGCTCCAGTGTTGTATATTTTTTTTGTACAACTTAAGCCATCATTAAGATAAATAGGAGGTGAGCAAGGCTGGTTATTTTTATTTCCGTCTGTGATGCCAGCTGGGGATGGGCAACGGCAATCATCTGGACATACAGGCACACCAAAAACGTAGGATTTTTTAAAAAAAATTCCCAGAGAATTTCAGATTTCCCTTCATTTTAATTTTAGCTTCCCAATAATTCTGTGGGTTGAGAGAGAAACTACGTCTTCCCAGATAAGTTATTTTCCTTCCTTCCTTCCTTCCTTCCTTCCTTCCTTCCTTCCTTCCTTCCTTCCTTCCTTCCTTCTGCCTTCTTCCTCTTCTTTTTCTTTTCTCCTTTTTCCTTCCTCCTTTCTCTCCTTCTCCTTTCCTTCTCTCCTTCTTTCTCTCCTTCTCCCTTTCTTTCTTCCTTCCTTCCTTCCTTCCATCCTTCCTCCCTCCCTCCCTCCCTCCCTCCCTCCCTTCCTCCTTCCTTCCTTCTTCTTCTCCTTTCTTTCTTTCTTCCTCCCTCCCTCCCTCCCTCCTTCCTCCCTTCTTCCTCCCTTCCTTCTTCTCCTTCTCCTTCCTTCCTTCCTTCCTTCCTTTCTTTCTTCCTTTCTCCCTCCCTCCCTCCCTCCCTCCTTCCTTCTTCTCCTTCTCCTTTCTTTCTTCCTCCCTCCCTCCCTCCCTCCCTCCTTCCTTCTTCTCCTTCTCCTTTCTTTCTTTCTCCCTCCCTCCCTCCCTCCCTCCTTCCTTCCTTCCTTCTTCTCCTTTTTTTCTTTCTTTCTTTTTTTCTTCCTTCCTTCCTTCCTTCCTTCCTCTTCCTCCCTTCTTCCTCCCTCCCTCCCTCCCTGGCCGCGGGCCAGCCGGGATCAGCCCCTCTGCGGCGCGGTCCCTGCCAGCGGAGGCGGCGACAGCAGCGCGAGCTTGCGGCGGGCGCGGGGGCGACCGCCGGCTGGGGGTGGGTGACGGAGGGCAGCAGCTGCCGCCGACGCCGCCGTCGCAAGAGGAGCCTCTGGCCGGGGCGGCCGGACCCGCTGCCCGAGGAGGACGGGGCGAGGAGCAGGTAAGGGGGGCCCGGGGAACCCCGCTGACCCCAGCGAGCGAGGAGGCTGTTAGCGCCGAGTATGGAAACTCTCGCCGCCGCTTTCCACCTCGCAATTCCGGCGTCCTACTCGGAGCTGCCGCTTGCAAAGGCTGCGGAGAGGAGCAGAGGGTTGTTGTTTTTTTTCCCCGACTTTACTTTGTCCTAAGAAAGAAAGAAAGAAAGAAAGAAAGAAAGAAAGAAAGAAAGAAAGAAAGAAAGAAAGAAAGAAAGAAAGAAAGAAAGAAAGAAAAAAAGAAAGAAAGAAAGAAAGAAAGAGGGAGGGAGGGAGGGAGGGAGGGAGGGAGGGAGGGAGGGAGGGAGGACGGGCAAGAAAGAGAAAAAGAAAGAAAGAAAGAGAAAGAAAGAAAGAAAGAAAGAAAGAAAGAAAGAAAGAAAGAAAGAAAGAAAGAGGGAGGGAGGGAGGCAGGGAGGGAGGGAGGGAGGACGGGCAAGAAAGAGAAAAAGAAAGAAAGAAAGAGTAAGAAAAAGAAAGAAAGAAAGAAAGAAAGAAAGAGGAAGGAAGGAAGGAAGGAAGAAAGAAAGAAAGAAAGAAAGAAAGAAAGAAAGAAAGAAAGAAAGAAAGAAAGAAAGAAAGAAAGAGGGAGGGAGGAGATAGGGAAGGAAGAGAGAAAAAAGGAAAGAAGGAAGGAAGGGCAAGAAAGAGAGAAAGAAAGAAAGAGAAAGAAAGAAAGGGAGGGAGGGAGGGAGGGAGAAGGAAGGAAGGAGATAGGGAAGGAAGAGAGAAAGAAGGAAAGAAAGAAGGAAGGAAGGGCAAAAAAGAGAAAAAGAAAGAGAAAGAAAGAAAGAAAGGAAGGAAGAAAGAAAGAAAGAAAGAAAGAAAGAAAGAAAGAAAGAAAGAAAGAAAGAAAGAAAGAAAGAAAGAAAGAAAGAAAGAAAGAAAGACACAGGATCTGTGCTTGGAGCTGGGGGTTGGGAGGAGCAAGCTGTCCCATCGCAAACCAGGTTAGAATCAGGCGGAATTAGGTTTTCCTTGTTTAGTGGGGCTGCCTGGATCTGATCCAGTCCTGCATGAGTTGATGCCCAGAGGAAGGATTGCTGGCTTTTAAATCTCTGAGCTTGGTTGTTTTCTTGCAGACCTTTTGTGACCAAACTAGGTAGCATCATCAGGGCTTGGGGTTTCTTTGGTTGGGCTGTTTCCTGTTGGCTCGGTTGATTGGGGTATGGTTTACTTCTTGATTGTTGGCCTGATGTTAATCTGCTAGGCTTCTCTGGCTGCTGCTTGCTGGTGGGGAGGTGTTTGGGTCTTTCTGTTTCCCTTTTGGCTTGCTGATTGCCCCTTTTGCATAACATACAGATATTGTATGTTATGCAAAAGGGAAAGATTGGGAAAGATTGAGGGCAATAGAAGAAGGGGACGACAGAGAATGAGATGGCTGGATGGAGTCACTGAAGCAGTAGGTGTGAATTTAAATGGACTCCAGAAGATGGTAGAGGACAGGAAGACCTGGAGGAACATTGTCCATGGGGTCGCGACGGGTCGGACACGACTTCCCAATTAACAGCAATTAACAACAACAACAGATATTGTTTGCCTCTGTGTGTCTGTTGATAGCTAATTTGACAGAGTGCCGGGTTTCTAGAAATTCCGTGGTGTTTTTTAGACTTGGCTTGATCTAGGATGGTCTCAGTTTCCCAGCTGAAACTATGGGGAAGTTAGTAAAATTGGGCTTCTCCGTTGACTTTGCTTGTCAGAAAGTCACAAAAGAGGATGATAATTATTATTATTATTAATCATCGCACAGTCAGCCAGATGTTCAGACTGGATTTGGCATTTTGTCTACCTATCGAGTCCTTACCCAGGACCTGGGATAGGCAGATGTGGACGTTTGATGGTATTACAGATCTCGTCGCAGGATGGAAGCAGTTCCTAATAAGGCCGCCTTTTGCAATTGACTAATAGCGAATTTGTCAATGCCGATGATGGTGTTCAAGTGGTGCTCCAGTTGTTTTGGGATTGCACCCAAGGCGCCTATGACTATTGGTACTACCCTTGCTTGCTTTTGCCACAGTCTTTCTATTTCTATTTGTAGGTCTTTGTATTTTGTTATCTTCTCCAGTTCTTTCTCTTCTATTCTGCTGTCTCCAAGCACTGCCATGTCCACTATCCAGACTTTTTTGTCTTTCTTATCGACAATTGTTAAGTCAAGACAATTGTTGTTGTTGTTGTTATTATTATTATTATTATGTTGGAAGGGACCTTGGAGGTCATCTAGTCCAACCCCCTGTTCAGGCAGGAAACCCTACACCATTTCAGACAAATGGCTGTCCAGCTTCTTCTTAAAAACTTCCAGTGTTGGAGCATTTACAGCTTTTGGAGGCAAGTCATTCCACTGATTAATTGTTCTCCTTGATCAGTTTCCATCTGTTGCTTCTTGTCCTGCCTTCAGGCACTTTGGAGAATAGCTTGACTCCCTCTTCTTTATGGCAGCCCCTGAGATATTGGAAGACTGCTATCATGTCCCCCCTCGTCCTTCTCGTCATTAAACTAGACATACCCAATTCCAGCAACCGTTCCTTATATGTTTTAGCCTCCAGTCCCCTGATCATCTTTGTTGCTCTTCTCTGCACTTTTTCTAGAGTTTCAACATCTTTTTTGCATTGTGGTGACTAAAACTGGATGCAGTATTCCAAGTGTGGCCTTACCAAGGCATTGTAAAGTGGTATTAACACTTCACGTGATCTTGATTCTATCACTTGGTCACTTAGTCCCAGTACACTACGACCCATCGTTAAGTATGAATCGGTTGCCAAGTGTTCAAATTTTGATCACATGGCCACAGGGATTCTGCCATGGTCATAAGTGTGAATAACCGTCATAAGTCATTTTTTTTCAGTGCCATTATAATTTCAAACCGTCACTAAACGAATGGCTGTTCTAGTCCCGTTTACAAATGGACATATTGTAAGCTCACAAAGCAGATGACAATTGAAGTGGCCTCAAAAATTTAAGTATACGCATACTAAACAATCCACCTGGTAGAGCAAAGCTTTTCATTTGTGGCAATCAAAGAAATCAGTTAAATTAGACCTGGGAAGGTGTTTGGGGTATGTTAGGTAGCTCTCCCTTAAAAGCTGACATGAGTGAAAATTGATGGAGAAAAGAATGCATGGGAGGCAGGTGTGGGAAGAATCCAGAGAAAGAAATATTTTGGGGAATATTAAAAAGGCAGAATATATTTCCCCAAAGGAATAATGGAGAAGATCTTTAAAAAGACAGAAACAAGCCCCCAGAAATCAGCCCCAACCCCCCAGGGTTAGGCACCTTGGCTCTTTTATGACTCGTGGACTTCAACTCCCAGAATTCCTGAGCCAGCATGGCTCAGCTTGAAAACCTCTCCCTTTCCCCTCAGCATGGCTGGCTCAAGAATTCTGGGAGTTGAAGTCCACCAGTCATAAAAGAGCCAAGGTTGCCTACCCCTGGCCTAGACAGAGGCCAACTTATAGAAATGCAAATTCAATAATCCATTCAGGAAGGTTGGAGCCTTCCAGCTAGAAACTGAAGAAATTAGGAAAATAAAGACACCTAAAATCTACATATCCCCACCCAAATTCTAAGGACAGGAGACATAATAGGATTAACCCACCAATACCAAAAGGGCACACTCAAACTCAGGTCAAAGTACATGACACAGGAAATACAAGGCCTCAGACAGGAACAGGAAACAACCTCAAGAGCCCCAGAAGGTATAAAAACCCACCACTCTGCTCCATGTGGTCACTTTTTTTCCAGAGCCATCTTTTCTGTCTGGCTCTCCTCTTCAATAAACTACAACCTTCTTTCTAAAGCAGTCTCCATGTTGTTTATTCCCAGCTTGGACTGGACCCTGATGAAGATTTTTCTTTCAACACAGGGAGCAGAAAAATTGGTTTTCAAAGGAAGCAGTTTAAGATCTCCCATCTCAATCCCTTTATTGTTGTTAGCTGCAAAGCCGTGTCTGACCCATCGCAACCCCATGGACAACGTTCCTCCAGGTCTTCCTGTCCTCTACCATCTTCTGGAGTCCATTGAAGCTCATGCCTCCTACTTCAGGGACTCCATCCAGCCCTCTCATTCTCTGTCGTCCCCTTCTTCTCTTGCCCTCCATCTTTCCCAGCATCAGGCTCTTCTCCAGTGAGTCCTTCCTTCTTATTAGGTGGCCAAAGTACTTGAGTTTCAACTTCAGGATCTGGCCTTCTAAAGAGCAGTCAGGGTTGATCTCCTCTAGGACTGACCGGTTGGATCGCCTTGCAGTCCAGAGGACTCGCAGAAGTCTTCTCCAGCACCAGAGTTCAAAGGCCCCAATTCTTTGGCGCTCAGCCTTTCTTATGGTCCAACTTTCACAGCCATACATTGCAATCCCTTTGGGAACTTGTAACTTATGTCCTAATTTTCTTTATCCGAGGCAATTAGTATTACCTCATTTTCCAAATTGCCACAAATGACTGGCACTTTGAATGTGTCCTATTATGGGATCCAATTAACATGCCATCTCTGTCATTATATCTGCCCTATGAATCAAGGTCTCTCCCAAGAGAGGGCTCCAACATGGCCTAATTTTTGTAAAGCCCCAAGAACTGTTACCCTGTGGTAAAATGGACAGCCAACAAATTTTACAAATAAATAAATAAACTGGTTATTCCTTCAGGCCTTGCCCCGGGGAAAATTTGTGATCCCGTCCAATTTGATGCTTTTCTTTCTTGAATGATCTTGGCAGAATTTCCAGTATAAATTTTGTAGCTTTATTTCTGTTCCAAATTTTGTTTGTTTGTTTGTTTGTTTGTTTTAATGGTGCACCATCCCAAAGTTGTGCAATTTGGAGAGGACAGCTGCATACATCAAATAAATATTGCATTGCATTGCACTGCATCTTATGCTGCTCTTCCTGCAGAATTCTGCATTCGGTTCTGCGTGCTGAATTTAAGAGGGTGGTTGCAAAAATCAGAAGGGACAAATTCAGATTCAGGGTTTGTAAGGTGGG